ATTAAAGAGAGGGAGGGAGGAACACAACAATATAGAGAGAGAATGAAGGAATTGTAGAAGGCTTGAAGAAGTGAGGTAGGACTACACTCGAATTCACACTCTAGGTATGAAATTCATCCTTAAACTTTGAAAATAAAACATACAAAAGTTGAATTCATCAAGTTCCTAAGTTCATTTGCATGTAATTGTGTAGAGGAAGTTAGGATTACCATGAATTTGGAAGAAACAAGCTAATCATTTACATGCATGCATAAATTCTTAACCTTGAGGTTAAATTTCATCAAAGTCACAACATGCATGAGTTGTAGACACATAATCTTGAAGAATTCTACATAGTTTCACATCTTTTATACCATTTTGTAGACACATGATCGTGAAATGTGCGCTCGAGCGAACCATTTCCATATTGACGGACTGCTCGAGCGACAAAGTGTGCATTCGAGCGGACACCCTGTTTTTAGCAACTTTCAAAAAGCTTTCATAAGTGCATCATTGCATCCTCATGCTTAGTAGAGAATTCTTAGACATTGATTAAGACATCAATAATAAGGAATTGACGTAGAAACACACAAGAAGGGAATTGAATTGAGATAAAATGTTAAATCGAAATAGAACCTCAATGTGTTTTTGCTATGTATTTTGGATAGGTGGACGTCAAGGCCTAACGTCGATGCAACCCACTATGAGTAGTAACTTTATAAAGATATGTTCAAACTATATTTACTTTCGAAATTGTTATATGATTAGTTTATTGGAATGTTGTTTTCCTTTAATGAATGAAGTTCTTCTTTGAATTGCGTTCATGGCATCCAATAGTGAGGCCCTTGCCTGGGGGAAACAATACTATGGCCCGTTGTTTAATTGGCCCTTGCCTGGGGAAAATAATACCATGGCCCATTGGCCCTCTCCCAGGGGAAACAATAACCTCACAATCAATGGACTCATCGCCTTCTGGACGAGTCTCCAACGCCGGCTCTGAGTCCTCATCTTTCGGTGGACTCTCATAAGCAACAGCCGCAAATCTACCCAATTCTTCACCCAACCCTCCCAGAGACCTTAAATTTTAGGTGGTGACGAGGCAAATCAACGGCAATAGAGAGAGGTAGATCTGTTCAGAGACAGATCAACAACAACCTCAACCTCACACATGAGCCACTCGCGGGTTTGAGTTCTTCATCTTCATCGACGACGACGACACCGCAAATCTAAGTAGGGGAAGGAGGCGGTGGTTCTAGTGGCGGAGCTGGATTTCCAACAACGAAGCTTCATCGAGGACGTCGATGGAGGACTTAAGGACGAAAGCGAGAGGGAAGGCGACATCGAGACAACTCGCCTAGAGTTTGTTGGAAGGATAATTTGGTCTATTAAAAATTAATGAGACTTGAAGGAGCAAATAATTTTATCTAGAACTTAATGGATTATAAGTTCACAAAATGGGACTTATATGTAAATGACCCAAATAATTTATACCATTGGCAGAGGGAAGTTTTGGGCTTATGTTTGTTGGCGATTTAACTGATTGTTTTGAGAGTGGATAATGAGCATTCAAGATAATTTATAGGTAAATTACAAATGCACTCCTTGAAATTTGTTTAAAGTGCAGATTGTTTCCTGTGATTTGAAAAATTATAAATACCTTCTTGTCAGAATTATTTATTTAATAGAATTAATTAAAAAAAATAAAATTCATAATTGTTTTCCTATACAATAATAAAATTACTTCAATTATTAATTGAAACATATTTCTAATATCATTAAAAACTGTTAATTGATTTGATGATTTATTAATAAAAGAGGCGATTTGTTATGAAATTAGAAACCTCAGGGATGGAATGTAATTTCCAGAATCACATGGAGCGATTTATATTTTAATCAAATCTCAGAGGGTGTATTTGTAATTTATCCATAATTTATTTATTGTGTTTTTGATAAGGGAGTTATTATTTCCTCTCCACTTTGTTGGGAAATTATATTTCCACACACCTAAATAACTCAGAGCTAATCTTTTCTTAATACATACACCTGTTAATTTATTTATTGATTGTTTTTCTGAATCCACACACTAAAAATTACAATTATATCCTTCACTCAAATATTATTGTACACACACTTACCCCTCATTTTCACACACTTTTTGAAAACTTGAAGACCAAAAAACTTCCACCCACGTGAACTTGAAGACCCCCACTGAAGTAAAAACATCCAATGTCTGAAGTGAGTCCATTGAAGCCAACCATGGAAGACTTCCATAAAAACTTCTATTGAAAACCTCCAAAATAAAACACCGGGCCCTTTAACCTCAGTTTCTCAGTGTATGTAATTTGGAAAAGGGGCGGGAAATTTTTTTAATTTGGCACTATAGAGCCAAATGAAATTATATATTTCGGCATTTGGTAACCAAAAAAATTAAAAATATTCGGTTTTAAAAAAATCGGAACTAAAATACCGAATTTATTAATAATTTTTGAAATATAGATGTCGAAGAAGTAAATATATCTCGGCGATTGATATCCGAATTTAATACATAAATTCAACACTGGTTCTCCGAATTAAAATCGAAAAAAACTAACATTTTCATTACTGTTTTTCTATAACCCGACATATTTTTACTTAGGTTTGAACTTCCATAAATTTGCAACTCTTCCATATCAAAATCAATCAAAAATTGTAGAATTGATAAGAAAGCGATATAAATAATAGATTGTAAACATAGAGATTAATACCCTTTCACATAAAATATACTATTTAAAAAAAATTAAAATTTCAAGAGTATTAATGTAACTATGTATAATAAAGACAAATAAAAGAATGTATTTAGAGCAAAGTGAAATGTGAATAGTTGTTCCCTTTGAAAATGTTATTTATGTCTATTGGGCATTTCACAGAAATAACTTCAATAATTAAATTCCCATATCTGCTTACATAACACACACAAAAATGGGAAGATAAGCATCCATATCTATTTAGGCATATTTTCTATGGTTTGATTTGAGGTTTGAATTGGTGAGAGTTTATGAATTTTATTTTTCATTTTATGTTATTTGTAATGATTTGAATAATCTTTTATTGCTTCCCTTATGGTGGAACAAGCTCTTGACTTGTACTTGTCCATGTAGTAATTGTATCTTTGTGTTTGAGCCACAAGATGGCACTGTAAATGAATATATGAAAGTTATGTTCATTACGGTTCTCCATTTGCTTTTATGGATATAATGGTATTATTACGAATGTATGTTTCTGTTATTTTACATATTTATTCCCTATGAACAGAAGTACTATGTGCACGTTTGGTACGATGATATTGGCTGAAATAAAATGTCTATTTTAATTTTATGTCTTTTTCCTTGTTTGGTATGTTTTATTTAAGTGAAAAATGAATGTATGAAAGTTATGTTCATTATGGTTCTCCATTTGCTTTTATGGATATAATGGTATTACAAGATTACGAATGTATGTTTCTGTTATTTTACATATTTATTCCCTATGAACAGAAGTACTATGTACACGTTTGGTACGATGATATTGGCTGAAATAAAATGTCTATTTTAATTTTATGTCTTTTTCCTTGTTTGGTATGTTTTATTTAAGTGAAAATAGTCATTCTATTAGAATAGCTATTTTAACAAAATGTAAAAATACATATTCCTTCCTCTAACCTAGGGAATGGACATTCTATTCCATCATGAAATTATCATAAAATTTTATTATTAATTTTTTTTGTTGACACTTAAAAAAATATTATTATTTAACTACTATCACCATTCCGTTCTCTTACCACTCTATTGCCGTCACAACTACCATACCACCATACTACCACCACCGTACTATCGATATCACCACTACTATCACCACCACTACCGTTGGCCGCCGCCGCCACTATTGCAACCACAACACTACCTTACCACCACCACTAAGGCCACAACAATCTACTACCACCATCATATTATCATTGCTATCACTATCACCGATGCTGCCACCACTACCACCGCCACCGCCACCGCCACTACTACGACTCACACCATCATTTATTTATTACTAGTTTGAAAAAAAAATAAAAACACGAGAATGAGAATTATCATTTTATTCCTATATCATTTCATATTGACAACCAAACAATAGAATGGAAATGGATATTCCATTCCATTCAACCTTATATTTTATTCTTACTCTCATTCTATTCTCAATTCATTTTATTTCATCGTATCAAACCTCCTCTATAAGTTTTGTACAGTTAAATCCGATCATGTTCTCAAAAAAAAAAAAAAAAAAAAATCCGGTCACAACCCTACCTCAGTTGGAACGGGTTTGGGGCATTGTCAAAAAAAAACATAGCTGTTAGACGAAATTGAAAAATCCAAAAAAAACAAAAAAAATCATTTGGACCATTTAAAGCGACACCTGTCGTGTCTAGGGGTGAGAGATAGAAAGGTAGCATTTGGTAAATTTTTTTAAATATAATTTGAAAATAAAAATTACATTTTAAATTTATAAATTTCAAAATTATAATTTGAACGTAAAAAATTTATTTGGTAAATGAATTTTGAAAAAAATTTTAAATTGAATGGAAAACTTTTAAGGTGACATATGATATCTACTATAAAAATTTATAATTCATAACCAAATACACAACTCAAATTTATTAAAAGTTCATAAAAAAATTTTAAAAAAAATTCAAAAATATTGGCTTATTAAAAATATAAAATTAAAAAACAAAATCAAGTGCCAATTGCCAAAAAAAAAAAAAAAAGAATCACACTGGTCAAGACGACCGGCCGAATGTTCAAAGAAAACCGATAGGCCAAATTTCAAAATTTAAAAACCCGCCTAAAACAAGTTTTTAAAAAGAGCGAATTAATTTTTTAAAACTCAAACCAAACATCATACTAGAATGTAGTGATAGAACTATGATGTCAAACCACTCCCCCCAAAAAAATTCTCATTTTAGGTTATCCTTTCTTATATTTTGCTGACTTTTAATATTCAAATTGAATATTGATAAATAAACAAATAAAGCACTTATTCTCAAGAAATTATAGATTACTCAAGCCCATAATTACTGTTGTTTCTTCTACTCAGCTCAATAGAGAAGGAGACTACATTTTGAGACGCTATTCCAAAAGTTTTAGCGTAGGCAAAATCATGATCGAAGGATGTGATATGAAAAATGTCTACAATCAGTGAAGATGGCTTGACTAATAAATCCTGTATAAATAACAAACTCAACACACAATCACTTATATTTGTAAGCTTCTTCACATCAACTTCTTGTCTGTGGATGCACGCTTCAACCCTTGTTCATTGACAGCCCATATTTTTGACAAATTGATCCTGGATCTTTGCTAACTCAAGACCAGAACAGTCTTATGATAGCTCAACAATCTTTGGCTGCTTTTTTGGCTTGTGTTTTTTAGATGACTCACTTGAAGAATCATCTTCAACAGACTTCGCTCTTTTAAGTTTGGGAGGAGTGGTTGTGGCATTGTCATCATTGTAGTCGTCATCACTGTCATCTTCACTATCACCATCACTGGAGGATTCCGATTCTGTTTCACTGCTGCTAGCTGCCAAAGAAATCACTGGTTGATAACCAACTATTGCAGACTGGGCAGCAGAAACAGCCTCGGGTGTATGCAGATCAGCAACACCCAGCATCAAATCCTGAATAAGATGCACCCAAACATTAAAAATGGATCGTATTAGTGCTGCTTGGTCCATAGAGGAGTTGGACGAGAACAACTTCACTGACCATTTCAATGTACTCAGACTCATTCCCAGTGAGAACTTCAATATCATAGTCCTCAACGTTGTCCTGTATTTTATTAAGTGCACACTCACGTCAGAATTAGAGAGAAATCAATGGAATTTTACAGACAATTTGGTCAAGTGTACAACAAAAATGCATACCTTTGCATCATTCTGCAGCCTTTGATTTGCTTCCGACATAACTCCTAAGAAATCCTTTACTTTTCCCATAACTGACAAATGGACAAACAAAACAACTAAGTGCTCATAAGAGTAGCATCATTTTTTTCTGTCTAAGCATTTAATTATCCAATTACATTTCAGTAGTCTTTATCTTTATTTAATTTTTTCTAAACCAGTACTTGTCAATACTAAAATAGTAAAATTTATGCTGATCAGAAGGTCAAACTATTAAAGGACAGATTCACCAGTGATTAATCAATCATGACAGAATAATGAAGGGTTTTAGGACTTGTGATGAGTATAATAAAGGGCTGAAGATTGGAATGTTAGTTAATCTAGATATTAAAAATAAAAAAAAATAAAAAAAAAGAAGAAGACATAAATAGCACGTGTGGTGTGAATAGTGCCTTGGTTGGGGGCTTTTTGTATGATATGAACATGTGAGCATAGATTGCAGCTTAGAAAGACATGGTTATGGTGCTAAAAGCCTTTTTGTGCAAAATATTAAAAGAAAATAAATTTAAAACAAAACAAAAGCTCTAGAATAACACAAGAATTGTGTAGGCATCATACTTGAGTATTTAACAGCATCACACAGTCCTTAAGGAACTTCAAATATGCCAAAAGCCACTAAAACTAGCCTCTATCAAATGAAAAGTGTTAAATTTTTATATGAAAACTTCTAAGACCCCGTTATAAGAGTTAAATTGAGACCCATAGATGGCCAATATAGCCCAAGCCTAGCAAATCTATTACTAACATATTCCCAACTTGTGAAACATAAAAAATATGATCTATGAAACACAAGAAATTATACCGAAAACTGATTAACAGCATCACACAGTCCTTAAGGAACTTCAAATATGCCAGAAGCCACTAAAACTAGCCTCTATCAAATGAAAAGTGTTAAATTTTTATATGAAAACTTCTAAGACCCCGTTAGAAGAGTTAAATTGAGACCCATAGATGACCAATATAGCCCAAGCCTAGCAAATCTATTACTAACATATTCCCAACTTGTGAAACATAAAAAATATGATCTATGAAACACAAGAAATTATACCGAAAACTGACCAAAATCATACATAACCTAAATAGTCATAAAATGGGATTTTAGCAGTTGATTGCACATGGCTTAATAGCACTCGTTCTAAGCATGATACAATACAAGTTGCATGAACTTCAACTAGTGATGAAGGAAAGGTACAGCCCTTGCATGATACAATACAAGTTGCATGAACTTCAACGACCGGCCGAATGTCCAGAGAGACAACTGATAGGCCAAATTTCAAAATTTAAAAGCCCGCCTAAAACAAGTTTTCAAAAGGAGTGAATTAATTTTCTAAAACTCAAACCAAACATCATACTAAAATGTAGTGATAGAACTATGATGTCAAACACCCCCCCCCAAAAAAATTCTCATTTTAGGTTATCCTTTCTTATATTTTGCTGACTTTTAATATTCAAATTGAATATTGATAAATAAACAAATAAAGCACTTATTCTCAAGAAATTATAGATTACTCAAGCCCATAATTACTGTTGTTTCTTCTACTCAGCTCAATAGAGAAGGAGACTACATTTTGATGGATAAAATTATTGGTTAGGAGTTCTAGGCTCTTTGTATTCTTTGCATCTTCTTGATGCTTTTCTAATAAAATTAATTACTTATCCAAAAAAAAAAAAAGCATTACTAACTACAAGTATTTTATGCAGAATGTCCACACTTTAAGATTGATGCAGAAGAGGCATAGGGAAAAAATTATCACAAGATCAGGGGATTAGCTCCCATATGCTTTTTAAACATCTTTGTTCATGACCTGTCTGGTTGTCCATTACTTACAGTCTTACACAAAGAATATCTATGTAATTCATAAAAGTTCTCAAGAGAAAGTGATGAAGATAATTTTTCCATCTTTATAAAACAGAAGTCCATTTGAGTAATAAATTTAAATGGAAAATGAACATTGAAGAAAGTTAAAACTCAGTTCGCGCTCTGAGAAGAAGAATCAACCCAAAGAAATTTCTGAAATATGTTACATAAGAAAATGACATGAAATTGGCAAACACCAGGAAAAGAAAAGAAAAACAAAACTTTCATGCAGCATTTAAAAGGAGTATCATGTACTTCACAGAGAAAAAAAAACATTATATGAATTTCACAAATGAAATCTAAGTATTCACAATCTGGTATAAGAAATAATAAATTGATTGGATCATTAATGTCATACAACACTATATCAAGTGATCCCAAATTCAGGCTGAATTGCACACACAACAGCTCATCTTTACAAGAAAATAAAGAGGCATGAAAGCGAAGTATAACCAATCAAGCACATAAATCTCAATTAGATTGCTTTAACTGAATTCAAGCCCCAACTTTAGAACAGTGTGCAGAACTTATTATTCTTTAGAAGAAGATTTGTCCATTCAAGTATTTATTGACTGGAATTTATGTTGAATCAATTTAGAACAATGGTAAAGATGGTAAGTTAACATCTACATGGAAGTGGCAAATGGAAAACATCAAACACTTGTACAATGTGTTTGGATCTTGGATTTGTGGAGGGAAAATAAAGGGAAGAGAAAAGAGAAATGAAATAAAAGCTAATTTCTTTTGTTTTACTCTCTCCACAAATTCAAGATCCAAAACAGCCATAGTATAGTCCAAAAAAGAGGAATGAATTGACAAGATTATTCAAAGATGCATGAGATTGCATCCCTTTTTCTTTTATTCTTTTCACCCCTCTTTGTAAGTACATGACTTGTACCTTTAGTTATATTAAACTGATTATGTTCGATTTCATATATAACATATATTGATTAATGAATCAATGGTCTGTAATTGATGATCGTTAATCTTGTGCGGGAAATTCTTTCCTCTTAGAGAGTTACTCATGTAGGGAGGAAGAGGAAGACCAAAAAAGGCTTATTGCTTGGCCCTTATGGTGATTATGTGGCACTGGTGGGCATTGGGGAGAAAAAATAGAAGTACTTTTGAGGGCAAAGAAGTATCAATTCTGAGTTCAAAGAGTAGTTTATGCACATTTTGCAGTTGGCTTTTGGGGCAGCTAATCTTCCTTTGACTCAATTTCTGAGCTTTCCAGACAGCTTTGAATAGGTTTTCTTTCTTTCTTCTGAATACAGATTGCACCCTCTCAATGCCTCTCTTTAATATTATTCAAAAAAAAAAAAAAAAAAGAGTTGATTATCATAAAATGAACTTTGAAGAGGAACAATAATATCATAAATAAACTATGAAGTACTGACATCCCACTGCACAAATTCTTCCCACAGCAGATTTAAGAAAATCCTAAATCACTTCAATGAAACCTTTATCGTGACACTTACACCTAATGTATTAATAAATCATGGAGACAAAATACGGATGAAACAGCTTTAATGAGATCCAATTTCGTTATACCTTTCATCACTTGTTTGGGAATAACCAATTCATGGAGGGTTGGAGTATCATAGGAGGGACTGTACCATATCCATGTATTTGGAGTTACAAAGGTGGGGCTGGTTGTCTCAATACTGGCTGACTTCATTAGCTGTGCGACTGATGGATAGCAGCATATAGTTGTTTATCTCATTCCTAAATCCAGAATTACCAAGTCCCATTTACCATTTACCTTATCTGAGTATTGAGCTCAACCCTAACTCCATCTCCAAGCCAATCAATTTAAATTTTGATTAAATAATTGTCATATGTAAGACAATCCCATCTGGGTTCCTTTCAAATCATTCAATCCAACATACTGATTCAAACCTACATCACCAAAACACATTCAACAATTGGCTACACTTCCTATTTCAAAACCCTAAAATCCAATGTCAAATAAACCACCAATAAATTAACAAAACCAAAATTCATTCAATTCATACCACTTTTCCTCTACTATTTAAAAAAACCAACTTAATTCTTACACTACAAGTTCAGAAATTTCGTCATATCCCAGAGCCAACAGATCAAAAAAGTGGAGGAAAAAAAAATTCCTAAACAGATCAAAAATTTATGGGCAAATTACATATGCCCCTCGAGGTTTGGCTAAATTACAGATACCCTTTGAGAAATTACGAATTTCCCCTGAATGCTATATTTGCATAAGAAATTAGGGGATAATTTGTTATGAAATATAAACCTCAGGGTAAATTGTTATGAAAATACAAACCTCAGGGGACGGGATGTAATTTTCGAAACCTCAGGGTATCTGTAATTTAGCCAAAGCTCGAGAGGTATATGTAATTTGCCCAAAATTTATAAATTTCAACAGATCAAAAATTTCGAAGATCAAAAATAAACCACCAACAAGTAGATCTATAAATTTCGAAGGAAAAAAAAAAAAAAAGAGGTTAAACCCTAGAACGAAATCCCTAGAGAGAGAGAGATACCTAAACAGTGAGCAGCGGCGGTGAGGGAGGTCGGCGGTGACGGAGGAGCGGCGGTGAGGGAGAGAAAGCAACAGCGGTGAGGGAGCGACGGAGGAACGGCAGAGGTGAGGCGGTAAGGGAGGATCGGTGGCGACGGAGGATCGCCGGTGAGGAGAGAGGCGCGGCGGTGAGAGAATGAGAGGGGGAGGCCAAACCAGTGGTGGCGGCGAGCGAGAGAGAGAGAGAGAGAGAGGAGCGAGCAGAGAGCGCCGTGTGAGTGAGAGGTGTCTGAGTGTGTGTCTCAACCCTAGACAAACACAAGGATACATATATATGGCAGGGACAAAACTGTCATTTCACCTCGGGATTAAGCGGGGCGGGTCTGAAACACCTATCTCTGTCCCCGGCCCGGATATCATCGGGGATGAAATTTTGAATACCGTCCCCGTCCTCACGGGGGTATTTTTCGGTGAATAACCACTTAATTCGGGGTCGGGGGTCGGGTTACCGTCGGGTCGGTTTCAGATTGCCATCCCTATTCGAGTGCAGAGAGGATTTAGGGTTTTTGAGGGAGAGAAAGTAGGAATGGCAACGGGCCGGGGCGGGACCGGGGATTACACTCTCCGTCCCCAATCCCCGATTGTGAAAATCACCCCGTCCCCGCCCCGATGGGGAA